GTTGTAGATTTGCTAACAAAACCGTTGCCATCTTTACATTTCATTTGACTGAGAAACAAACTTGGGCTGAGTATTAGTCCCTCTTGTTTGAGGGAGGATGTTGAAGGTAAAAGCAAACTCAAGGAGCCTAAGTTTGTGAAGAAGCACAAGTCTATGAAGCAATATAAGAGAGACAATAGATAGGCCCAATTATTCTGACTCATCTTTTTGTAATTTTGGTAATCCTTTCTTTTGTTGTATGTTGTGTTATTGTCATGATTATTCTTCTATGACGTGCCCCACTATGTAACCAACTTGTCAATATATATGTTGCGCCTCTCTACACCTTACATATTGTGAGAGTTTATTGTTTCTGTTAGAAGTCTTTTTGGGTCCCATGCTCTTTTTCTTCGATTTCATTTTTTTTTTTGTTTTATATACATTCATTAAACATACACACACTAACATAATCATTTGCCCCCTTCCTCATTTTTGTTTTATTTTATATTCCTTTTCCTTCTTCTTCTTTTTTTAATAATATTATTATTATTTCTATTTTCTAAAAAAAATCATAACTTAATATTTTATTCAAAATTAAATCCAGTAGTAGTCCTCTAACTAAAATTATTTATCTCTAAATTCCCTTCAAAATTACTAATTTGCCTTTGATTAACTTAATTAATCTTAGGTTAAATTTTGAGATGTTACATGTTTCACGTTTCTCATCTCAAAAATATCAATTGAATCCATCTCATGTAATTGAGCAAGAAGAGGCAGAGCTTTAGGGGATTACCACATATAAAGCTAAACTAGAGCGAATAGTGGATGTTAAAGACAAACAAATTTGTCATAAGATTATTCGGCTAGTGAAGGTGTTTTGAAAGGGGATAACTCTTGATGATGCTATCTAGGAGATAGAGGACAAGATGAGGCCATAGTATCCACATCTATTTCCTTAAGTATATGTTTGTTTGTTGTTGAATTTTGGGGATAAAATTTTTAAAAAGATGGGAGAATTATAACATTCCAAATCTAATACTAAATCTAATTATTAATTAAGGCTAAATTAGTAAATTAATAGATTAATTAATTTAATCAAAAGTATCAATTAACATTTTGGGTCCTTAGACAGCTATATAATCAGGTTAAAGTGAAAGTTGAGCTAATCAAGATTGAGTAAGGGGCTTTAGTGAGAAGTATCTTATTGTGCCATATATTGCAACACAATGTTGTATGCCACGGCACATGGCACAAAATGTTTATTAATAAGATTGGGACTAACTCGTAATTTTAGGAGGAGAAAAGGGAAAAGAACAACAGGGAAGGGAGGAAGAAGCTTGGATATTGGGCATGAGATCTTAGGCAACTTAAAGTTAGTTTTAACTTGTTGTCTATCAAGTAAGCTTTGTATTTCCTTCCTCTTTTGTTCTACCTATTTTCTCTTGGTTTGATATATAGAGAAATTGTGTTATGAGATAGAGAGGGATTGTTATGGGGCCCAATAATAGCTAAAGGGTTATTAGAAGTTGAATTAAGGATTTATAACTAGTTTGCTAGTTGATAATTGAGTTTTGAGGCTTGGTTCAATTTTAGCCTCAAGGGAAAAGGTTTGAATTGTGAAAAACCTTGTAGTGAGATTAATGGAAGTGGTAGGGAGTTTATGAAAGGTGTATAAGACTTAAAAATGCCAACCAAAAGAGATTATAAGCTTAAGCTACTTTAATTGTACTAATAAGTACTGATGTTCAATTTGGAATTGACATATAATGATTAATCTTATAGATTGAAGTGGCTTACAAGTATATTAAGCAGTTGACAGTGCAAGGAACAATAAGTACCATAAGTAACCCTAGCATATCTAGAGGGTTGAGGTAACTAAATAATTTATATTATTTATTAACTTTTTTAACTATTTAATTAGGTGTGTAATGGCCCATTGAGTTTGGTTGAGGCCTTAACAGTGGTTAATGACATATGGTTATAATTTGGGGTACTTGGATGAGAGAATGACATTACATGGCCTTTTGGTATCTAGGTGTTTAACTTTCAAGTAAAATATCGTATTGAGACAACCTATGTCATTAGCTAGATTATCAAATAAGTTACGTGTGGGTACTTGAACCACTCTAATAGGACATCGCATGTGAAAATGGTGCATGTTAGAAATTCATCCCTAATGAGCTATTATGACAATATTTGCTACTATATGCGCCATGAAGTATGGCATGGAGTGGGAACTTGTTTCTCTATACCATATGCTATGGCATATGTGCCATTTGAGATAAAAATAACCTTTTTGCCCCTATTTTCTTATGTGATATGATTTTATGATCTTTCTTGCTTCCATTGTGCTTATACATTTATAATTTTAAGTTTAAATATATTTTTGGAGGGCTTTTAGGATTTCAAGTGTTTTAAAAGTTTTATTTTTCTATATTTTAACTGTTCTTGTTTATGATAAGTTTAAAAGTTTAATGACTCCTAATTACCTATGTGTGATTTTTTGTGATGATTAAATAGTAATGTCAAGGTAGACATTACATCCATTTGCTCTTACTCCCACTCTCTATCTAGTTCATGTCTATTTTAATTTCAAAATGGTCATACGCCGTGGTACAACATGCATGCATTGTGGCATGTGGACAAAGTGCCACAACACCAATTAAGACCTCTACTCGGGCCTTATTAGCCCAATATCCATTCTAATTTGACTCCTAAGTTGCGTAAAAGTCTAATAAACCAATTAGTAACCTGGAAACTTGGTGAACTTAATTAATCATTTTAAGTTGATCCCAATTACTTTAATAAATCCTAGGTAAAAAAAATTGGGATATTACAACATTGAGATAGCTTGGCCATCTAAAGGCCTTAGTAAATCACAAAGAAAATATACTTTGGACCTACTTAAGGAGATTATGATGTTAGGAGATAGATTTGCAGATACCCAATGAAACTTAACTTCAAATAGGAGATAAAACCTAAGGGCAAATATATTAATAAGGAAAGGTACCGAAAATTGATGGGTAAGTTGATTATTTATCTCACACTAGACCTAACATATCATATGTTTTGGGAATAGTGAGCCAATTGGCTAGCAACCCTTAAAAGGAGCACATGGAAGATTTGATAGGACAACACTAGGCAAGGGCTTATATTTCTCAAGGGAAGTCAAAATAAGGTGGAAGTATACATAGATGCGAACAATGTGATATCAGGCAAAGAAGACTAGATGGTTGTAGAAATATACACAGATGTTGACTGGCTAGGGGCAATTGATGTCAACCACAAGATATTGTACTTGTGTATGGGGTAATCTTGGAACATGGAGTAGTGAGAAGCAGCTAATCGTGTCTAAAAGCTTTGTAGAAGTAGAATATGGAGCAATGGCACTTGGAATCTGTGAAGGAATGTGGATTGAATGATCACATATTTTTTACCACTTGGAATTTAGATTAGAATTGGATGCTCCAATCAAGATGTGGTGTGATAGCATGGCTGCACTCAAGATTGCTAATAATTCTTTCCAACATGATCACACCAAGCTTGTTTAAATTGGTAGACATTTTATTGAAGAGAAGATTGAAGCCAACGTGATAGACTTGTCCTACATCCCATTTGGGAAGCAGGTGGCTAATGTGATGACTAAACTAAACCTCTAGTCAGAGTTAAGTCTAATGATTATGTAAGCAAGCTAGGAGTGGTCAATATCTATTTACTAGCTTGAGGGGGAGTGTTGGAAATAGGCTTAGATTTACTAGGCCCACTAACCTAAAAAACCCTAGTTTCTCTATTTATCACTGTTTTGTAATATTTTGTTATTACTTAATAGATTATAGATTATAGAATATTTCCTTTAATTTTGTTTTTATTTTGTCAATGATTGAGAGACAATTTCGGGGGATTGTATCCTCCCCAGCCATATATGTACAAACTTATTCAGAGAAATAAGATTATACGAATCAGCACTGCAAATTCTCAACTATCATGTGAAGACAGCGATGTGATTGCTTGCCACTATCATTCTTATAGCTAGAAAGAAATATTAAAAGAAAGTGCACATGTTAAAAGAAAATTATGGCATGAATCAACATGTATTCATTCTTACTTCAGTTTCTGAGTAACAGTGTCGATTTTTTGAGTCTATTTATAATTCCTTTGTTAGAACTTCAATTCAGATGGCTTATTCTGGCTTCAAATGCCACATCTCATGATGTTTAGCAATTTTGATTTTAACTGTATATGGCGCAATGCAACATCTCAACTTCCTTATGTTTGTCTTGAGTGAAAGTGGAGCCTCCCTCCCCCTCAAGAAAAAAAGAAAGAAACATGCTTACATTTTTAGCTAATTAATCTTGTTCTGGATATCGGTTTCTTTCCTACCTGTTTCAAATTACATTTTTGGTTGATTCATAGTATAATGTATTGTGCAACATTGATGTGCATTATTCTCTTGGAAAAAAAAAATAGCATTTGAACGTGCCAATTGAAACTTAACAGAACTATAATCCACATCACAGTTGTATAAGTAAAATCATATGTTACCAAGACTGTCGTTTCATTCATCAAAGGAAAAAAAAAAAAAAAAAAAAAAAAACCCAAGACAGTCGTTTCCATCAAAAACATTGTTCAAGGTACCTATATAGGGCTCATCTAGATGGGCTCATCTAGATAGGGCTCTTTTTCATCAATTTTGTCATCACCTCATTTAAAACATTGACTTAATTTGTATAGTATAAAAATTTGAGTCAACCTATCCAATTAAATCATTAAACTAATGTCTTGATTAATTTCATAAAATAACTTATTTATATTAGGTTTGATCATAATTTGACTACAATTTGACTATTAACCATTAAACTAGTGCCTTAATTGGTTCAATAACTGATCTAATTTTCAATACCTTAATTAATTGTAACAATAATAGAAATTGTTAGTATATATCCTGTTGATACAAGAAATGTCATATTGAATCAAGTTGTGTGTTGAATGCATATAGTACATTTGAAAAGAGACAGAAGTGATGACAGGTGAACAAGTAGATTAATGGACGCCCAATGCACGATCATATTCTGTATTACTCCCTCGTGTATCGGTCCTCATACATGAATGTTTAAATATAAAGGATCTAATTTAATTGCCCAGTTGTGATCCCATGTACAGAGAGATACCTCGAACAATATTTTAACGAAGGAAAAAAAAATTCAGTTATAATCAGTGAATAACAATTGCAAAAAAAAACTCCACCTCAAAATTTTCAAACGTGTGATCTATTCTGCAACTATGGAAGACATTTTTCCTTCTTAAGCTCTTCAAACTTGTACCTTTCGTTCGGATAGAGAGAAAAATTGGGAGAAAAAACACTAGGAGGGAAACTCTCAAAAATGGTAAAAATATATATATATATATATATTATTTTTGAAAACTTCTCCTTATAGTTTTCTTTCCTTTCTATTTTCTTCTTACTTTTCTCTCCATTCAAACCAAGCTATAGTGTGAAAGGAATTTGAAGCTGTTAGATTTCTTGTTGCTCAATAAGTATCTTCTTGCATGCTTCATAGCACATGAAAGAAATACCAGCAGCAGGAATAAGTTTTAACCAGCTTGGCCCTAATCCTCTGTACAGACCTGCAGGGCCCTCCTTTTCAAGTATAGTTACAAGAGCATGAAGCACATTGCTATACTGTCTTCCATTTACAGCCCCAGCCTGCATGTGCTTGCGAGCCACCTCAAGTGGGAACGTCACGGTGCTTGAAAATGCACTTGAAGCTGATCCAATCAAAAGGGTCATCACATTCCCAACTTCCTCCTTGTTGAAAGCTTTCTTGTATGCTTTTTGCAGTGTATCATAAGCAAGATAGTTTGTGGCAGCAAAGGGGATCACACCAATTATACTTGGGGTGAGGCCTCTGTACAGTTCTGCTGGACCTTCATCTTTAATAATTCTCATAAATGCATCTAGAAAGTTCTTATACACCCCTCTCTGCAATTAAAGTAGTAGTATAAGGGCGTGTATGTTTAATATTGAAAAATAAATGATTTTTTGATAACTTATAAATATTTTATAAAAAGAGAATTATTTTTTAGAGATTTTATAAAAGGCATATATAATTTTATGTTTAATTACAATAATAAAATAATGATTATCAGTTGTTTTTTTTAAACTTTATTATATCTTCATTGATTTATATTTTATAAAAAATATTTATCATTTAATTATTTTAAAATTGTATGATATCTTTATATATTCTACATTTTTAAAACATTCTCCCATCTACTAAATATGATTATTTTGAAGAGTTACTCAAAGTAGCTTATTAAAATAATAAAAATCTATTTTTTTATAGACTTTAATTATTTTTAAAAGTTTAAACAAACAGTAATTTTTTCATAAAATAAATTGAAACAAACAGGATTTAAAGCTAGGAAGCATAAACATGAACATGGAGACATTTAATGTGGGTATGTTTGGCTGGAAGTTTAGTGTCGCTCTTGTGAAGTGAGTGAATTACCTGAACAGTGAGACGAGTTTTGAGCAACTCTAGAGGGTATGTGCAAAGAGTCGAGCTAACACCAGCAAGAGCACCAGCAACTGATGGAGCTGGAATTGGAAGTTTTGGCTGCTCACCAGGTTTAGGAGACAAATGCTTCTTCACAGTATCATATACAAATAACTGCAGTGCAGAAATGGTCCCATCAGATAACATAAACATAAAGCATGTCTAAGAGTTTCCTTTTGGTCAAAAGCACATTTAGCAGAACAAGAATTGTTGAAAGTTTGTCATAATTAACAATCAAAAAGTTAGCTGAGGAGTTTAAGGAACACAATGAATCAGTACATCAAGTCATTTCTTCCAGAAAGCCAGTGCTGAAATATAGAATAAATGTGTGCACATACTAAATTTTGGAAAACTTCAATTCAATTTTCACTAAAATTACAGGCACTTGAGGTTAATGGTTCAAACACTCAAAATGTATTGAACCCTTTCATAATCTTTGAGGACCATATTGTACTAAATTAAGCTCTTGGGACAGTAGGAATTAAAAGTAGATTTACACCAAATTATAATAATAAATAAATTAACACAAATTATGAACTCTGATCTTGGTTGATGAAAATGGATGAACCAAGTCTTCAGGAAACATTAGGTTCTACATTAACTGGTCAGGAGTCAAACAAGAATATAATGAAATCTCAAAAGCCCAAGCACATACCTCAATGCCCTTGCTTGGGGCAACACGAATTACATTTACGAAATTACCCCTGTACAGGCCCTTCCATCCATCAGCTACCACTACAGAACGGAAAACCTCAAGAGCAGAATTTCCAGAGAGTCCCACCATCAAATGTGTCCTTATAGTCTCCAATGGCGCTACTGCAGATCTTGACACTGCACCAGCAATGGCTCCACTAATCAACCTCCTTAACGAAGGATTCCCAATCTTCAATTTCAACCTTAGACCATTCCTCTTTGTCTTCGTCGTTGTTGTCTTCTTCATCACCACCAGACCTTCATCTTCAATTTCAAAGGAATCGTCGAGGTCGTCGTCGTCATTACCTCCCAGCGACAATCGCGGAAACAGACCCGTTCGAAATCTGGCTTCAGGCATTGAAACGAATTTCATGGATGAATTTGCCAGCGTGAAGGTTTTTCCACTCTCTCTAGCAGCTGGAGGGTTCGGTGGAATACCAAATCCAAATCCTGCTTGACCAATGCTTGCAAATAAGCCAGTGGAATGAGAATTAGCCTCTCGACAATTATTCCATACGAACTTGATTCCTGAAGAACATATTGCTACATCTTTGTTTCCAGATTCGACACCTTCAAGCATCATCTGCATACCTCCACCCATCAAATCTTACGTTATTTGCAAGAAGTTACCAATCCGCAGAACCACTTCTCAAAAGAAATCGAAGCTTCGCGAGTGTAAACAAAAAGTGTAGAAGATGGTTTCAAATTTCAAGCGTAGAAACTGATGTTTCTAGAGAAGCATTTGATTGCCGTGAATTGAATGGCATGCTTTCTGGAGAATCTCTGCCTCCAGAGTGATGAAGACGAGAGAGAAGGAAGAGGAAGATATGGCGCGATGCTCAACGCTATATGTATGACTTGAATTTCAAAGGCTTAGGTTACAGAAAACGCTAAGGACAAGGGGAGTTGTCATCGTTGCGGAATGATTCAGAGAGGCAAGTCCTATGGATGGCTTTGAGAAGTTCGACCTGAAATGGCATATTCATTGTTGGGACCTCAGCATCAGAGGCCTAAACATTTCACTATCCTCATCTTCCTAAGAGCAACGGCATTCACAAAGATAAAGATCTGAGGATTTTTTTTTTCTTTTTTAAGTTAGAAATACTAAAGACTTCAAACTAAAAAAGAAAAAAGGCTTAAAACTAAAGACTCAGTTACAACCATTGGCTCGTAATGAAAACAAATAATCTGACCATAATGCTACAGCATTTTTGTTATAATTTAAAATATTATTTATCTGAAATAATCTGTATATATATGTGTGTGTGTGTGAAATATAGTAATTTAATTATGATTAGTTTGAACATAATGTAACCATTAAAGTATACTTTCTCCTGACCATAATATAGGATATTTTTTAAAAGTCTTGATTGATTTAAAATATAAAATATTTAGTAATTTTTATTATTATTTTTTCAACTATACACATACTTTATTTATTACTTTTTTTTAAAATAATGTATTAAAATTTTAATTATCATTATTAAAATACTTTTATATGATATTTAATGTGGGTTAATTGGAAAGATATAAAATTAAGATTTGAACTAATATTTTTTCATAATAATAAATTAATTATTAATACCTTATATTTTGATTAGAAAAGAGTAGATTTGGAGCGTTTAACGCTCTCTCCGCTGGCCCCTCCAATGCTCAGAATTTTAACCCTTCATCTGGGAGAATGATATAAAATTTCGCCGACATTAGCATAAATAATGAAGAGTTGGGATTTAGGATATTAGAGAAGGCAGGTTAGTGTTTAATCTGACATAAAACACACCATTTTATAAATTCTAATAAATTATAAATAAATTGTTGGGATGGGCATTATTCATCCCTATTCAATTTTTTTTTCTTTTTGTTGAAGTTCATACAATACAATTAAATGAATAAAAATTAATGCCATGATGATCTAAAACAGAATAAAAAATTAATGTACATAGAATCGTAGGCATAATTCTAATTGAAATAACGCGTGCTTATTTGCAATTATGACATTTTAATTTGACATATTAAAAAGTCTACATAGTGTTAAAAATATATACTCCCTCCGTTAAACAATATAAGGTATTTTTAATCAAATCTCACCCTTAATAAAGTAGTTACTTATTTTTAAATCAATCCTATCTTTTCCTATTTACTACTAGTTACTATTTATATCTCAAAAAATTAAAAATGTCTTATATTTTTTAACATATTTTTTTAAAAAATGTCTTATATTTTTAAATGAAGGAATATATTAATCAGTGTAATATTTTTTGTGACAGTTATTTAGTTATTTTACTTGTTTTTTTTTTTAAAAAGAAACCGTTCATATGTTTAGTTCGCTATTTCCGGATTGAAAACTTTACGATATTACTTTTATACAACCACTCCTATGAACAAAGAAAAATTGCTGTGTCATTGACTAATTATCTTAATAGTAATGCTAATCACCTCCTTTTCTTAAAAAGGTTTATGGATTGAAATCCAACATTGACATATATTGTGTGTATGTTTAGATGCATGCATCTTCCTTTTTCTATAAAAAATGACTAGGTTAGGGATAAATTTTTAAATGATACTAACAAATTAGAGATAAGGAAAATGATAATGAAACCCCTTTCAATTATAAAAATGACAATTTAATCCCTCAAAATATCATAATTTTACTGAAGTATCATTAATAAATTTATATAAATGACCAAATTGTCTTTATTAAAAATAAAATAATTTATAAATTTTTTTAAATAATCACAATTTTTTTCTTATATTCGCAATAATGTAACAGTAAATTATAACTTTACATGTTAAAATCCCAATTTGTTATCACATTATTACAAATATAAGAAAAAATTATGATTGTTTAAATAAAACTTGTGAATCATTTTATTTTTAATAAAAAAAATTAATTATTTATATAAATTTATTAATAATAAAAAAGTTTGTAAAGATTTAAGTAAAATTATAATATTTTAAAGAATTAAATCATCGTTTATATATTTAAGAGAATTTTATTGCCTTTTTTTTTAAAAAAGATAAGTTAGCCTGCAATTTTCCTTGACCAGTATAAAATACTAATATAAAGGAAATTATTTTTCCTCACTTTGTAATAGCCGCTTTGTCCACGAATGTCCCTACTGACGCAAGTTGGCATAAGGTGGGTTTTAGACCACAAGAGATATACTTGATATTTTGATTTTTTATAAGTGGAGGGAAATCAGACACCTCTTGTGAATGTGAAGCCCACAATAAAAGTTGATGCTTGGAATTGGAAGGCTATTAAAATTCCCACTTACTTAATAAATGATAGTAATTTACCTTAATAAGTTCACTAATTTTTTTTCTCTTTTTTATTGTAACCACAAAAAATTGATTCTCCCTACAAAATCATCAATTTAGGAGCAAATGTATAATTAGCAATTTATTCTTTGATTAAAAATTATGAGCAAATAAATGATATAGTGCTAGATGGGTTTAGTTTCACGTAGAATTTGAGAAAAGGGATTATGGGGGTTTTAAAAATTAAAAATCAGTTTGCTATATAAAATATAAAATTAATATACTGATCAGTTGTGAATAATGCATAACACTTCAAACTAAATTAGCTGACTATTAACAGAGAATAATCCTATGCTAACCAAAACAAATTCGCTTGTCCCTTTTTTGGAAGAATTATTATGGGGTCCCTAATAAGCATTTTAATCAATGAAAAGTCCCACCAAATGCTTAAATAGCTGTAAAGTCCCTAAGTCATTGATTGTAAATAATATATGCTATCTAATGACCATAATGCCCATGACTAGATAGGGTTAAATGGTAATTTAGACCTAAACTATAGACCCATGGGTGATTTAAATTTGAAACTCATATCTAGTACATTTTGAACCTTAAACAATTAAATTTGGATAATTTCACCCTATCGTTAAATTGAAAAAAAAAAATAAATTCACTGTCTTAAGTAGGGCCTGAACAAGTGGCATTGATTCCCCCCCTCTCTCTGCCTCTCTTCCTCTTTGCATTCTAGGTCGCTTTGTCGATAGCATGGAGATTCCATCTAGCTTGGGTAGGCCTCTTCTGCCTCTCAGTTTTGATTATTATTTAGATCAAGCTTTTTCCTCCATTAATCTCTCCATATTTTCTTCTTCACCATCTTCTTTTCTTCTTTAGCCTAGTATCTCATTCTCTCACTATCACTTTCATCTAATATTCACTCCTCAACTTCATTGCACTAGCCTTCCCCAAGTATATACTATGTGTTCTCTACTTCACTTCTCTCTTTCATCTCTCATCTGTTGGAAATTGTGCCCTAGAGCTAATCATTATACTATGCATATTGTTATTTAATGAATTTCTCTTTTATTATCATATCAATGCATATTCACTATGATAACTTTTTCTTTAGACAAATTATAGTGGTTGTTCTAAATGTCTCTGATCGGTCATCTATGAGGGATTATAGATAAAACAAGACTAGTATGACTTTAATTAATTATAGAAATACAAATCAAAGTCATAGCACTTGAAAAAGTATAAGGTGCTAGATTGACCCGCTATGAGAAAGTTGCATGATACAAGTCATAATCTTATTTCATATGTAACTATATCACTAACCTTTGATCTGAGATCATCATGGATTCCTACATGATGACCACTGAACTTTGACCTAGTCAAAAGTCACCTTTAATCGAGTGATCATAACGTTATGATTGAGTTTAGTGATATTCATGCAGAGGAATATGAAGTAGTCAAGATGAAATTTGTCCCTCACAATGAGTAAGACTGAGAAAACATATGACCATACTACAATAAAAAGAGTTTTTTCTATTACTATAGTCAGTCCACTCAAAGATCAAAAAAGTAACGGTTAGGTAAAAGAGAATGATAATTTCATGTCTCACACTTGACCAAAATATCACGTGACAAAAGGGATGTGATACAGTTGCATGATAGTTACATCAAATCATCGATCCTTATGTGAATTACGTAGTTGTAATGTCTTACTAGAGGCCACTTGTGACTTGTGGACTAATAACGTTATTAGCTTACTGCAATTTCATATGGACCTATAGGATCGCACACAAGAACAGCCCAACTCAAGCTATAATGTCTAAATTCATTAAATCTGAAATATGTCTAAATTCAATGAATGTAATACAGGGTGAATGAATTGTATATATATATATATATTTGAATATTTATTTGATAAATATATATATATATATATATATGTTTGTATATTTATATGAAATATAAAACTTGAAATATAATTATATATATATATATATTTCAAAAAAATATATATATATATTCATATGTGTGTGTATATATCTAATGTATATATATGGTATATGTATATGATATATAAATTAAATATATAAATATAATATATATATATATATATTTTTTTCAAAAAATATATATATGTATATGTATATATTTGTATATATAATATATTATGTATATGTGATATATATTATATTATATTATATTGTGTTAGTTTTAAATTTATTTTATATGATAGATTAAATTTAATAACTAACATGATATGAGAGAATATCATGTTAATTTTATAATTTAATTTATAAGATAAATTTGAATTAGATATAATATCATGGATTAAATTTATGAGATAAATTTAATTAAATTTTTGTAGCCCCTTTAAGTGGAAGACGAAAACCCTAATCCATATACTATATATATAAATAGGGACGTGCTTCATAAGAGATAGAGAATTAAAAATTTCTGACAACAAAAATATTTTGAGAGTCATGAAACACCCTATATAAGGAAAACTAATGTTTAAAGAAGAATGGATGTTAGGAGTGCTAGCACACTATTCGAGTTAGAGAGTTGTTCGTATGAAAAGCAGTAGAGGAAGCAATCTACGTTATCGGCTCATAAGATTCAAACTCTTGAAGAGAACACATACCAAGTTTGAAGAATTAAAAGGTAACTCTTCTATCCACCTTGACTTAAATGAGTTTGTTCGGTCTACATCAAGATAGGAACTTTAAAACTTTAATCTTCTGTTGCGCCTCCCTATCCAATAGATCAACATTTCT